AATATTGGAATACAACATTCTGCTACGTCATCAGAAGTGGATATACACAGACAACTAGATGCATCCGTGCAATAGTACGTGCCGCCGTAAAGCGTTTGCTCTACTGCGCCAAGTCACTATCTATACACTTACAGCAGCAGATTTTTACTGCACAGTATGTAAGTGTGTATATGTGTGGAAAGTAGAATTTTGGCTTCTGACAGGGGTTTGATACTCCTCACTCATTTTTTTTTTTTTTTTTTTTTTAAAGGATGGAAGTAAAGAAGAAAATGAAAGAAAGGAAGAAAGAAAGGAAAGAAAAAAAAATGTGGAGGAATACGAAAAAAAAAAAAATAATAATATCAATACAAGCGTATGACGATACTAACGCATGCCTTAAGTGGCTAATTTGATATGTTTCTCAGAGGGTAATGTTCTGGCGTATATGGTATGTGTGTCCTTAGCGAAGTATGTTCTTTGAGAAGATATTACATGTATTGATGATCTTGCTGCAGTTGCAAATATCTTAAGCTCTTCGACTAGTTGTCTTATTTTTAGAGATATTAGACAATCCATTGCAAGGGTCTTTTGGTTTCTGATTTCATGTGATCAATGAAAACCCATTTGGTAAACTATAAGTATGATGATTACGATGATTAGGCTTTTTCCAAATGTTGTAGGAAGACAGATTTTTTCTAGAAACTTTTTTTTGTTATGGCTTGCAATTTCTTTTAGTCTTTCTTTGATATTTTGTAATGACAGGGTGTCATTTAATTCAGCCCATTTCGTAATTATTATTTGCTCTTTTTCCTCTAAATCAAGTGTGTTCTTCGTAATACGAGGAATTACATCTTGAGATAATAGTATGGATAGATCTCTTAAGTGTCAATTCTAGGCAATAGTCATAATCACAAATTAGACGAAGTGTGAGAGGATCTCCAGTAGAATACATCTATTCCTGAGTGTATTTTAACTTTGTCCAGTATGATGTTTTCGAATTATATAACTTAATTCTACATTCTTTTAGGGCTTCTTCTGTGGGTTATGTAAAGAGAAAAAATTCACAAGTAGCATTGTCTACTTCTTCTATGAGTACATAAAAGTAACGGACCATGGTGAATACATTCATTTATGTTGTCTTAATCAGCTAGGAAATAATTTCCTTGGTGGTGGTTTATGTATCAATAGTCTGTTTTAGGATTGATACTGATGTCAGCTTGTGAGTTTGGTGTGTATTTTGTGGCATGAGTAGTGGATGTATTCTGTTAGTACTATATTTGTCGTTTCCGATTGAAGAAAATGTAATTTTAACTAGTATCCATCATTTATTACCGTTGTTGTACGGGAAAAAATATGTAATTTAGAAACGGATATTTGTGCTGATTTTGTCTGTTGATAGACAATATTTGTTACTAAATGAATAAATTTCTTTTACCATTTGACTCAATTGTTCGTATGAGAGTAGAAGGGAAAAGAGATGACCTTCGGCAGTAGCTTTGAATGTGTAAATAAATGTTTTATATAACTGCAGTATGTAATACAACAATTGCTGAAAATGCATAACCCATATGATAATTAATTGTGAGATTGTATCAGTTTTTTTCTGTTCTGATAAATACGTAGAATTTATGGTTAGCTTTCGTACTTGTTGTATGTGCTTTGAATTTTTGATTTTTGTTTTTTGCGTTCCTCAGTTTCATTATACGATATGCGCTTGGTTTGTAACGAGAACAGAAATATTTTTCGTTTTTAAATAGAAATTGTTTAATTTGGTAGCAACTGTATTTCTATCTTTTGCGTCCATTGTTTCAAAAATTTTCTTGGACATCTATCTCACAAGTTCAAGAGCGGCACCCATTTTCTTCATTCTATGAGATTCAGTTATCAATAAGTCAAAGACTTCAATGGTTGATGAGAAAAATCGTTGTATCTCGAATCGTCATAAGTTGATGTTTTTAAGTAATTGTTTTTATAGTGATAGAGGTATCAATAGCTTGCATTGGTTCGTATTTAGCTATTCACAGCAGTGATTCGAGAGATCAGACATTTGAAAACCTAGTTCTTCATTATAGTTTGGAAGATTCTTGCAGTCCAAAAGTACCCATTGTGAGCCGATAAGACAAACTTTATTTAAGTACACATAATTAATTCATGTGTTGTTGAATATTCTTGATTTTCATGAAAGCTTTTTAAAGGAGGGTTGCTCATTGAATATGCTTGGAGTTTCTTTGTTATGATAAATTCTATTGTGATTGATCCAAGGGTCCATTTATCATCTAGTTACGTTATTGAGATTTCTTTATCAAGGTTTTCAAAATAATATACTAATAAATTTAGCCTTAATTTTCTGTTTCAACTTTAAGACCACTACACCCTACCGTCCTTAATCCAGCGGTTTTTTAGAACATAGCCATGCCATGCTCGCAATCTTTTTAAGAACAAAAGCTAAAACTAAACAGGTCTGGGACAAAATATTACATTTTGCTATACATACACATAATACAGCATGATATGTAACGGTGGCATTTCCTGGGAACAGCGTGTAGAACAATTTTTTCTGAACCGAACCCCGTTTGAATTAATTTTTTAGGGCAAACAGCTTTTAAATGGGAGGCGATTAAAAATACGTTCCAAACTACCCCTAAATAGGGTTGGAAGGGTATGGCGCGCCCACATAAACTTGCGACGTTGCCACATTGTCATTGAGCTTATTTGGTAAGTATACATAGATATCTCCATGTGCGCACGCACGAGCGTCTGCTATACTATACTGCTGTTAAATTGAAGGTTGGATGTTACAAGGTAAACATTGTTGTAACTGCATGAATATTTATAACATGTCAACTCATGTAACACAAGAGTATAATGGGATAAATGTATCACCTACAGTTAATAAATAAGTGTCGAACTATACTGCAGCCGCTCAGTCGAAGTTCTATTGGCTTGCACGGGAAAATAGCGTACCCTACAAATAGTTTCTTTATGTTTAAAGGTGTTTCAAAATCCCCCCAAATTGATTTTGTTGGCCTTTTCATCATCTCTTCAGACTCACTCAGTGTACTAAAAGATATAAAAAATTACTTCCCAATCAAAACCAAACACACATCACACCTCATCCTTGGAATAAAAAATCGGATTTACCTCAACACTATTAATAATAGAAATATTTGGCATATCGGCGTCTCAGAGAATGAGAACCAAGGCCGTCCACAAAGAACATAACAGAACAGGGAAAAGGGTGTGCATCAGCTCGATGTCACCTGCGCGTTCGCACTGTTTTTTTTGCTATCTGCGCACGTTGTTTTGTGCTCCCATCACGCATGCTGTTTTTGCCAGCAGCACTGCACCGCCTTAAGGCTACAGTCACATGGAGCGCAATAGAGCGTGCAGGATAGATTTGTCCCCATAAGCGGCTGTGTTAAGTCTATTACGCTGCAGGATAGCCCTATTGCGCGGCGCAATAGACTTAACACAGTCGCTTCAACTGTTTTTCTTATAATCTACGAGTTGTATTGCGTAGCAATAGTAGCGTCAAGAACGACCATTTACATTTCACTTGTGAAGTTTAACGAATTTGATATAATTCGAGCAGCTGGTAATACCATGACCTCATTACAAAATAAATAGTGTGGTTACAACTTTTTTCATTGTGACATTACATCATTCTTACGTGATTGTATTACGCCAACTCTACTGTTCTCAGCAGACAACATCCTGAAAGGTTAGTATGAAAATTTTACCTGTGTATATTTCGATTGTTTAAAACGTTTTAACGGCTTATATTTCATTGTATGTTAGAAAAACATTCTACATGTACTAACATGATAATTATAGCTATTTTGCATCTTGTATTGCAATTAATAGTAAAGAATAAATACAGGCTTGTAAAAAAATGTACACAAGAGCTATGGTACACACAAAAGTTTTTAACAATTTTTTTAATTTTCAATATTTAAATAACTATTTACATTCAGTGATAATATATTTCACTGATAAAAACTACGTACAATATTGGTCAGCATAAAACTTGATATTAATATTAATGTAAATTAAATATCATGTTTTTCATATCATTTAATGAGCATAAGACAACTCTTGTTTATTACATTCTAGTAGATAATGCTATAAGTATCCTTTATATCAGAATTAAAAAATACATTAACTCTAGAGACATTTAAATCATTCTAAACTAACAGAGGATCTTCACATAACCCTTAAATTTACTTAATTATTATGATTTTGTAATATACACTATATGACGATTTAAATGCTAAATATTCATCTCTCATAACTAAGTTAAAACAGGCCACTTTTACAATTTTATGGTTGCGTTCATTTTCTATGTACAGTATCCAGCAGGGATGGGCAGGTAGAAAACTACGTGTCAAATGAAAAAATTCTCTATGCATAGAAAACACGTCACATACTTCAAATAGTGTAAAAATTTAAAAACTTTTCTACATAGTAATCAACTTACAGTCCTCCACACTTCACATAACCTTAATTTCAGTCAGTAAGTAAACCATACGTTTAGTCTACTGTAAACTTCATGAGAGAGTATTCTTGGCAAGTACTTGCCATGTACTTGTCGTAAACTTGCCAAGTACTTCCCTGGTACTAGATAGGTACTTGCCGGAAACTTGGTGGGTACTTGGAAGGTACTTGGCGGGCACTTGGCGGGCACTTGGCAGGTACTTGCCAGGCACTTGGCGGGCACTTGGTGGGTACTTAACAGGCACTTGGCGGGTACTTTCCGAGCACTTGACGGGCACTTGCCGGGTACTCACCGGGCACTTGGCGGGTACTTACCGGGCACTTCGCGGGCACTTGGCGGGTACTTGCCGGGCACTTGGCGGGCACTTGGCGAGTACTTGGCAGGCACTTGGCGTGTACTTGGCGGGCACTTCGCGGGTACTCGGCGGGCACTTGGCGGGTACTTGGCGGGCACTTAGCGGATCCTTACCGAGCACTTCGCGGGCACTTGGCGGGTACTTACCAGAAACTTCGCGGGCACTCGGCGTCTACTTACCGGGCACTTCGCGAGCACTTAGCGAATAGTTGCCAGGCACTTGGCAGGCACTTAATGGGTACTCGGCACTTAATGGGTACTTGCCAGGTACTTGCTGGGCTCTTGGCGGGTACTTGGTGGGCACTCCGCGAATAATCGGCGAGCACTTGGCACTTAACGAATACTTGCCGGGCACTTGCCAGGTACTGGCCAGGCACTTGGTGGGTACTTGTCGGGCACTTGGCGGGTACTTGCCGGGAACTTGGCGGGTACTTGGCAGGCACTAGGATAGTACTTACCGGGCGCTTGGTGGGTACTTGCCGGGTACTTGGCAGGCACTTGGCCAGCACTTGGTGGACACTGGGCACTTGGCGGGTACTTGGCGGCACTTGGCGGGCAATTGGCGGGTACTTGCTGGGATCTTTGCGGACACTTGGCAGGCACTTGGTGGGCACTCACTTGGCGGGCAATTGGCGGGTACTTGCTGGGATCTTTGCGGACACTTGGCAGGCACTTGGTGGGCACTTGGCGGGTACTTGGCGGCACTTGGCAGGCAATTGGCGGGTACTTGTCGAGATCTTTGCGGGCACTTGGCAGGCACTTGGTGGGTACTTGGCGGATACTTGGCGGGTACTTGGCGGGTACTTGGTGGCCACTGAGCACTTGGCGGGTACTTGCCGGGCACTTAGTGGGCACTTGGCAGGCACTTGGTGGGTACTTGGCGGGTACTTGGCGGGCACTTGGCGGGTACTTGGCCATCTCTTGGTGGGTACTTGGCGGGCACTTGGCAGGCACTTGCTGGGCACTTGGCGGGCACTGAGCACTTGGCGGGTTCTTGCCGTGCACTTCGCGGGCACTTGGCGGGTACTTGCCGGGCACTTTGTGGGTACTGGGCACTTGGCGGGTACTTGGCAGGTACTTGCTGGGCACTTAGCCGGCACTTGGCGGGCACTTAGCGGATACTTACCGGGCACTTCGCGGGCACTTGGCGGGTACTTACCAGGAACTTCGAGGGCACTTGGAGTCTACATACTGGGCACTTCGCAAGCACTTGGTGGGTAGTTGCCAGGCACTTGGCAGGCACTTGCTGGGCACTCAGCTGGCACTTGGCGGGTACTTGCCGGGCACTTGGCGGGCACTTGCCGGGTACTTGCCAAGCTTTTGGCAAGCACTTTGTGGGTACTTGGCGGGCACTTGGCGGGCACTTGGCGGGTACTTGGCCGGCACTTAGCGGATACTTACAGGGCACTTCGCCGGCTCTTGGAGGGTACTTACCAGGAACTTCGCGGGCACTTGGCGTCTACTTACCAGGCACTTCACGAGCTCTTGGCGGGTAGTTGCCAGGTACTTGCCGGGCTCTTGGCGGGTACTTGGCGGGCATTCTGCGAGTAATTGGCTGGCTCTTGGCACTTAACGAATACTTGCTGGGCACTTGCTAGGTACTGGCCGGGCACTTGGTGGGTACTTGGCGGGCACTTGGCAAGTACTTGGCGGGCACTTGACAGGTACTTGCCGGGTACTTGGCGGGCACTTGGCAGGCACTTGGTTGGGACTCACCAGGCAGTTAGCGGGTACCTGCCGGGTACTTGGCAGGCCATTGGCCAGCACTTGGAAACTGGGCACTTGGCGGGTACTTGGTGGCACTTTGCGGGCAATTGGCGGGTACTTGGCGGGCACTTGGCGGGTACTTGGCGGCCACTGGGCACTTGGCGGGTATCTGCCGGGCACTTGGTGGGCACTTGCCGGGTACTTGCCAAGCACTTGGTGGGCACTTCGTGGGTACTTGGCGGGCACTTGGCGGGCACTTGGCGGCACTTAGCGGGCACTTGTCGGGTACTTGCCGGGCACTTGGTGGGTACTGGGTACTTGGCGGGTACTTGGCAGGTACTTTCTGGGCACTTAGCTGGCACTTGGCGAGTACTTGGCAGGCACTTGGCGTGTACTTGCCAGGCACTTGGCGGGCACTTGGCGGATACTTGGCGGGTACTTGCTGGGCACTTGGTGGGCACTTGGTGGGTACTTGGTGGGTACTGGCTAGGTATTTGGCGGGTACTTGGCGGGTACTGGCTGTGCACTTAGAAACTTATTGGTTTGCTGTCGTATACGGTTTTTTTGTTGTTGCTTTTCTTTGGACATATGATTACTTTGTGTATTTATCTATCAATTCCATTGTATACTTTGAATTATGCATGTTTGTCTGTTTTAAGAATGTGCAATAATTTTTTTTGCATTTTCATCATTATTACTGTATGAGATGTATATTGTCTACATCTGTACAGAGTAGCTAATATAAATTATTATGCATTGAAGTATAGTGTGTAGATTAATTATTCTATCACAACTTCTTAAGCAACTATCTGAATTAACAATCAATTTCATGATCTTAGGTTATTTTGGCTGCATGGCTTAACACTCCACCAAATGCTTCTTTCACTCTTGTGGAGTACTGCGAGAAGATGTAGATGTATGGTAAGTGTAACAGGAATGCTGCTGCAACAGCCCGGCTCTACGCTGAGCGCTTTCCAAACGGCCGGCATTCTTATCAGAATGTCATTCGTGAAGCCTGTAACCGCTTGCATGAAGATGGCAATGTTATACCTGCAGCCGCTCGTGGTGGTAATCATGGTGGACGGATCGTTGGAGCTCCTGAGAGAGTCCGAAACGTACGGAATGAAAAGCGTGTCCTGCGATGTGTCGAGCAGGATCAAACTTGCAGTATTAGGAATATTACCAGGGAGTTAGATTTATCGTACTGAGTGGTACAAAGAATCCTGAAAGATAATTATTTACATGCGTATCACTACACCTGTGTACAGCAACTTAATGAAGAAGATTATCCTGCAAGGTTATAAAATTTATACTTTCTAACGCAATATATTTATATTTTAAAAAGTATTTGTGATATTATGGGAACCCAAAATTCCTTATCGGTATTTTTAGTATGTGTTTGAAGTTTTAAACGTTGGAGCCCAATGAAAATCTAAAAAAAAATTTTTTGGTTTTGTCGTAAATAACACAATAAGCCAGTGACAATAGGTGTATAACACCATAAAAAAAAATATCAACATCTAACCAGTTTAAACACAATTATTAACAATCACAGTAACATACGTATAAAACAAACTTTAAGAACTACACCTTTCAGTAATACATGGTGAAAAAAAATCCGAAATAAATATTTCTGCGAATTGATGGTTGTAAAAAATAAATTTGGTACTTTATAGAACTAGAAAACATAACCTCAAAGCGTAATAAACTCCTAAAGTTAATGAAAAGTTGGAAAAAATACGGTCTTATGCTACTTACGTCCAGTAGGGGCTGCGATTAATGTAAAATGTATAGATATTCTTATAAGGTACTAAAACTAATTTCCATGATTTTTTTCAGAATTAGGAAACCTAACCTTACCGTGTAAAGTGTCAAGCAATTCAAGAAAATAGCCTATTTTCTGCCATTTTCGGTTATAGTCTGCTATTAGGGGTCCATACAGAGTCTGAATAGTTTGTATTACAGTCTTTGTATCACATTTGATACTTACAGTCATTACTAGCTCTTGGAAACATAACCTTGATTTGTGTATGTATCCATAATTATAAAAAAGGTGATAAAAACGTGTTTTAGTTACTTTTACACATTAGGGGATGCAACCGTTTTAAAACATGGAGTATAATTTTATAAGGCACCTTTGCGTATAACTTGTTTCATGAATGACTTTGTTGTGAGTCATAAGATTAATGTAAAACCTGACACAGCTTATATTTGTAGACCTATCAAAAGTATGGTACATACTGGGCACTTGGTGGGTACTAGTTGGGCACTGGTCCCGTTCTTGCTATGCACTTGGCGGGCACTGGGCAAGCACTTGGCGGGCACTTGGCGGGCACTTGGCGGGCACTTGGCGGGTACTTGCCGGGCACTTGGCGGGTACTTGCCGGGTGACTTAACACAGTCGCTTCAACTGTTTTTCTTATAATCTACGAGTTGTATTGCGTAGCAATAGTAGCATCAAGAACGACCATTTACATTTCACTTGTGAGGTTTAACGAATTTGATATAATTCGAGCAGCTGGTAATACCGTGACCTCATTACAAAATAAATAGTGCGGTTACAACTTTTTTCATTGTGACGTTACATCACTCTTACGTGATTGTATTACGCCAACTCTACTGTTCTCAGCAGACAACATCCTGAAAGGTTAGTATGAAAATNATATATCATCAATATTTTTTTTCTTAAACTTCTAAAGCATATGCTTAACCATATTAATACAAGCATTGCTGTTATTTGCCAAATTCAAAATAGTACACCATCTTTTTCCTTTTTTTTTTTCTTTTCTTTACCAGGTTACCGCGATAGCCTAATAGCCTACTGGCCTAGTCGCTGGGGCCACCTACTCAAAAACTATGTGCGAGGGTATAGTACTGCATCTATTTACAAATCACCTAGCAGTTATCATACTTATCATACATGGGCACAGTGGGAGAATCTCTAGTGAAAACCTACTCAATCACACCTTGAAAGAGAAGATATAATAAAATTATTATGGATTTTTCTTTTTGCAACAAACTAATAAAATATTGTTGATAGGTCTACGGAGATAAGCTGTGTTAGGTTTTACGTTAATCTTATAACTCACAACAAAGTTACTGACGAAATTTTACGAATATTTGAATTTTTTTTGATAATTTCGCGTAATTATTTCGTGAATGAGACTTTTATTAATTTTTCTGCCGAGGGAAAATTAATAAGATATTGCTGATAGGTATGCAGAGATATGTTTTGGTAATTTACAGAGCAACCTCATACTCTTAAAGAAAGTTATAAGAGATCTTTTAATAGAATACTTCCGTTTTCTGCGCGTTTCGGATTGTTTTTTCATTGAATATCATTGTTTGTAACTGTTAGAAGTACCTGACATAAAGTAGTGATTGGTATTTGGTATAAACGATTCAGAAAAAGCTACTTGTTCTCATTCTTTGCATCGTTTTCAAAATAATTTTTAAAGGACGCTCCATATAGTACCTTAGCTAAGTCTGTCGGCTAGTTTTAGCTACATAAAAAGTATACCAGTATCTTTTATTCTGCTTTGGAAAAAAATTCCTCGGTTATGTTCGTGACAACTATTCAATTCTCAACTTTTTTCTGGGTCGAGAAACGTAAAACTTAAATAAGGTTTTACCATTTTTTTGAATTTCTTGACATTTTGCACGGTGAGGTTAGGTTTCCTAATTCTGAAAAAAATCACGGCAATTAGTTTTAGTGCCTTATAAGGATATCCGTACGTTTTACAATACTTGCAGCTCCTACTGGACGTAGATAGCATAAAAACGTCTTTTTGCAGACTTTTCTTTAATTTTAGGAGTTTATTACTATATGAAGTTATGTTTTCTAGTTCTATAAAGTACCAAATTTGTTTTTTACAACCATAGATTCGCAGAAATACTTATTTCGGATTTTTTTCACCATGTGTTACTAAAAGGTATAGCGCTTAAAGTTTGTTTTATACGTATGTTACTCTAATTGTTAATAATTGTGTTTAAACTGGTTAGATGTTGATATTTTTTTTTTACGGTATTATACACCTCTTGTCGTTGGTTTATTGGGTTATTTACGACAAAAACAAAAATTTTTTTTTTTCGCATTTTCGGTGGGCTCCAACGTTTAAAATTTAAAACACATTTTTTAGTTTAATGCAGTAATTTATTAATGAAAACCCGTTACAGAATTGCATTTTGTCAAGAGATGCTGAACCGTGTAGACGATGATCCGAATTTCCATAAGAGGATTCTCTTCAGAGATTAATCGACTTTCGGTAGAGATGGAACTTTTAACATCCATAACAACCATTGTTGGGCTGAAGTGAATCCTCATGTGGTAGCTGTACGCAACCACCAAGTTAGGTTTTCAACAAACAAGTGGGCTAGTATTATTGGGAATCAGGTGGTATGTACAACTTTCCACATATGCATTGTAATTTTGATGATTATACATATTTAGTTTATCTAAATTACAATTATACGAGTGAGCTTATTATTTGCTCTAAACGCAATTCCGAAACATCGCCCCCCTACCAAGCAACTTGGAAACGATTGGTTGTACTAGTAACAGATTGAAGTATTAATTAGTTTCAATACGTTGCGGAAAAGCGATTTCTGCAACTTGGCCATCTGGCAAGTACAGCTGGAAGAAATTTCATACAGTGCTGTCCGTCTCTAGTACGACCAATTTTTCCCAAGTTTCTCGGTGGGAACGCTGCTTCAAAATTGCGCTCAAAGCGAATATGTCATAAACTTGTAGTAACCCCACATATCTTCCTGATAAATGCATAACAGAAAACTGACTGAGCGGACTAATAAGCCGACTTTTAAGCAAATGGTTAC